TCTTACCCCAATGTAGAAATGCATGTCCAAATCTTACCCCAAGATTCGTATATAGACATGGGTCAAAATTTACCACCCCCATATCTCGGCCAAATCTCATCCGATTTTCACGAAGTTTGGCTTTTTCTTCATGGTTTTCCCTCTTGATTAATCTGGCATTCAAACCTGAACACCGATTTTTTAGTCGAAATGCATGTCCAAATCTTACCCCAAGATTCGTATATAGACATGGGGCAAAATTTACCACCCCCATAACTCTGTCAAATCTCATCCGATTTTCACGAAGTTTGGTTTTTTCTTCATGGTTTTCCCTCTAGATTAATCTGGAATTCAAATCTGAACACCGATTTTTTAGTCGAAATGTATGTTCAAATCTTACCCCAAGATTCTTATATAGACATGGGTCAAAATTTACCACCCCCATATCTCGGCCAAATCTCATCCGATATTCACGAAGTTTGGCTTTTTCTTCATGGTTTTCCCTCTAGATTAATCTTGCATTCAAATCTGAACACCGATTTTTTAGTCGAAATCCATGTCCAAATCTTACCCCAAGATTCGTATATAGACATGGGGCCAAATTTACCACCCCCATAACTCGGTCAAATCTCATCCGATTTTCACGAAGTTTGGCTTTTTCTTCATGGTTTTCCCTCTAGATTAATCTGGCATTCAAATCTGAACACCGATTTTTTATTCGAAATGCATGTCCAAATCTTACCTCAAGTTTCGTATATAGACATGGGTCAAAAATTACCACCCCCATAACTCGGCCAAATCTCATCCGATTTTCACGAAGTTTGGCTTTTTCTTCATGGTTTTCCCTCTAGATTAATCTGGCATTCAAATCTGAACACCGATTTTTTAGTCGAAATGCATGTCCAAATCTTACCCCAAGTTTCGTATATAGACATGGGTCAAAATTTACCACCCCCATATCTCGGTCAAATCTCATCCGATTTTCACGAAGTTTGCCTTTTTCTTCATGGTTTTCCCTCTATATTAATGTGGCATTCAAATCTCGACACCTATATTTTAGTCGAAATTCATGTCCAAATCTTACCCCAAGATTCTTACATAGACACGGGGCAAAATTTACCACCCCCATATCTCGGCCAAATCTCATCCGATTTTCACGAAGTTTGGCTTTTTCTTCATGGTTTTCCCTCTAGATTAATCTGGCATTCAAATCTGAACACCGATTTTTTAGTCGAAATTCATGTCCAAATCTTACCCCAAGATTCGTATATAGACATGAGTCAAAATTTACTACCCCCATATCTCGGCCAAATCTCATCCGATTTTCACGAAGTTTGGCTTTTTCTTCATGGTTTTCCCTCTAGATTAATCTGGCATTCAAATCTCGACACCGATTTTTTGGTCGAAATCCATGTCCAAATCTTACCCCAAGATTCGTATATAGACATGGGGCAAAATTTACCACCCCCATATCTCGGCCAAATCTCATTTGATTTTCACGAAGTTTGACTTTTTCTTCATGGTTTTCCCTCTAGATTAATCTGGCATTCAAATCTGAACACCGATTTTTTAGTCGAAATTCATGTCGAAATCTTACCCCAAGATTCGTATATAGACATGGGTCAAAATTTACTACCCCCATATCTCGGCCAAATCTCATCCGATTTTCACGAAGTTTGGCTTTTTCTTCATGGTTTTCTCTCTAGATTAATCTGGCATTCAAATCTGAACACCGATTTTTTAGTCGAAATGCATGTCCAAATCTTACCCCAAGTTTCGTATATAGACATGGGTCAAAATTTACCACCCCCATATCTCGGTCAAATCTCATCCGATTTTCACGAAGTTTGCCTTTTTCTTCATGGTTTTCCCTCTATATTAATGTGGCATTCAAATCTCGACACCTATATTTTAGTCGAAATTCATGTCCAAATCTTACCCCAAGATTCTTACATAGACACGGGGCAAAATTTACCACCCCCATATCTCGGCCAAATCTCATCCGATTTTCACGAAGTTTGGCTTTTTCTTCATGGTTTTCCCTCTAGATTAATCTGGCATTCAAATCTGAACACCGATTTTTTAGTCGAAATTCATGTCCAAATCTTACCCCAACATTCGTATATAGACATGAGTCAAAATTTACTACCCCCATATCTCGGCCAAATCTCATCCGATTTTCACGAAGTTTGGCTTTTTCTTCATGGTTTTCCCTCTAGATTAATCTGGCATTCAAATCTCGACACCGATTTTTTGGTCGAAATCCATGTCCAAATCTTACCCCAAGATTCGTATATAGACATGGGGCAAAATTTACCACCCCCATATCTCGGCCAAATCTCATTTGATTTTCACGAAGTTTGACTTTTTCTTCATGGTTTTCCCTCTAGATTAATCTGGCATTCAAATCTGAACACCGATTTTTTAGTCGAAATTCATGTCGAAATCTTACCCCAAGATTCGTATATAGACATGGGTCAAAATTTACTACCCCCATATCTCGGCCAAATCTCATCCGATTTTCACGAAGTTTGGCTTTTTCTTCATGGTTTTCTCTCTAGATTAATCTGGCATTCAAATCTGAACACCGATTTTTTAGTCGAAATGCATGTCCAAATCTTACCCCAAGTTTCGTATATAGACATGGGTCAAAAATTACCACCCCCATAACTCGGCCAAATCTCATCCGATTTTCACGAAGTTTGGCTTTTTATACTCTGAACCCATTAAAAATGGTTATAAGGGTATATTGTATTTGTGCGAAAGCCAAATGTATGTAACAGGCAGAAGGAAGCAACTCCGACCCCATAAAGTATATATATTCTTGATCAGCATAAATAGCTGAGTCGATCTAGCCATGTCCGTCTGTCTGTCCGTCCGTCCGTCCGTCCGTCCGTATGTATGAACGCAAGGATCTCAGAACCTATAAGAGCTAGAGAAATTTTAGATGAAGATGCTCCTGGCTCCCGCGCAGATCGAGTTTGTTTCTGATGATCGATAACTTACTCCGTTTCCAAGCAATCGATAAAAATCGATATCGATATCCTGTTTTTTGGGCAATTTTGGTAAATAATAAAAGCTAGAGTCACCAAACTTTACATATAGCTTCTAAAATAGAATATATATATGCATTTGATGTTGGAAGAAGAGGGTTCAGGGTATCCCCTAGTCGGGAGCTCCCGACTAGAACCTCTTACTTGTTTATATTTCTGTTAATGCACTTGCAGGTATGTTATTGGAGTAAAGCAGCAGAGTTTAAGCTTTGGTCTTGATAAACAAAGAAGTTTTCCTATGGCAGCTATTTGATGTAGTACTTTGATGTTGATGGGATTATGCATATATATAAGGCGAAGGCTTAAAATGGGAAGACTAATAAATGCCGAGCTTGGCTTAGATTTACTGTAATGACAGCTAACATAAAATATGATATTGTGGTGCGATTCGGCAAAAGAAAGAAATTGCCTATGCAAAGTTTCGGAAGAATAGCTTCAAGCCTGAGATATTAGTTTGCATAGGAACAGAGAGGCGAACGGATGGACAGAAGGACATGGCAATGTCAACTCGGCTGCTGATGCTGATCTGGCATATATATACTTCAGGTGATCGGAGATGTATTTTAAACGACTTCATGACAAATGTGTTACTGTGTGTGAGCAGCAAGAGAGCAGATTAGCCAGGTGAAACCTATCCAAGCTGTGTAAAGCGAATGAGGAAGTCCAGAAGCAAGACATTCAAGCCTTTCAGCTGATTTTGCTCAAGAAATCCTCAAATATATATATATATATATATATATATATATATAAATATATATATATATATATATATAAAACATATATGTGGGTTCTCCCCGTTTGCATACGAATCGAATCGAATGCAACTTTACAGCTTTCGCTCGCTCTCAAAGCTTAGAATGGTTTTTCTTAAAATCAACTAGAATTTAATGCCATTTGGCTGAGTAGTTTGCAACGCACTTGTGATTGAATCATACGAGTTACTCATGAGTCACTTATTGGGTTCTCTTTCGCTTTTCTGCGCAGCTCACGTAACCAGAAAGCGGGGCCAAGTTCCAACTATGTGCCGTCTGTCGATCTGGATCGGGGTCTGGGTCTGGGTCTGGGCCTGGGTCTTGTGCTGTGGGCATTACTTATGTATGCGGGGCTCTAATCAATTGCCGGTTCGCTCATTTTAGTTGGGGCCACTCGAAGCGTGACATTGCGCCATTTTCTGTCGGCAATTACCAAAAATTGTTGACTTGTAACGCAAAGTTTTACATAATTTAATGGCAATCAAGGCGGAGGCAACAACTAACTGTACACACACTCACACACACATGTCGCCTCTAATGGAGACAGCCCCTGCCGCTGGCATACAGACGACTTGTCACGCTCATAACAAACGCACAAATTGCAGTCGCTTTTTTATTTTTGCGTTCAGCTTTTTTTTGAAGCGCAAATTGCTCATGAAAATGTGCGACAACAACAACAACAACAAAAGCAACAACTACAACGGCAAAACGACAACAATTTTGCCTAATAAAAAAGATGCCTACCTCTATTTATCTGTGGGCCTTAATCAGCTACCGGTCGCAGCTTTAGGCTCAGACTGTGATTTGTCTTGCACTATGTGAAGGAGGAGGACAGTGGGCGGGTGGTGGGGGAGGGGGGGTGATGACACGCTCCAGTGGCCGCAGGCCGTGCCACATGCAGCTGTTGCTTGTCAAAAGGAAAAGCCTCTCGACTTGCAGCGGCTGGCAAAAAAAGTGAAAGTAGAAGCTGTGCCCCCACCGGCTGAAGATTGACCAGTGCAGCTCAACCCAGCACCGCCCACTCCCCGTGCCACCCCCTCACTTTGTTATAAGTGGGTTGGTAATTGCGCGCCACGCCCACGCAGCGCGTTTGACGTCTAATTAAATTGGCGGAAACTTAATTGGACGCCTATTTTGAGTCATGTTTTTTTTTTGCTTTGCTTTGCTTTTGCCAACTAACTCAACTTTTTCTCTCTGTGTGTGTGTTTCTCTGCAGGAGTTGGCGTTGTGCTGGTCACTGTCAGCGGCGCCGCTTGGCGGATGACAGCGCCCGGTGGCGGCCAAAGCTGCCTCGGGCTGGGCACCACCGTCGATTTGGCCCGCTGCGGCCGACGTCCGTGCACCCGCGGCGGCGGCGCGCCCCACGGACTGCTCTATCCGGAGTTTCAGCACCGCCCGCCGCCGCCCTCCTACCAGGCCAGCATGCAGGAGTATCGTCTGAGGTGAGTTTGCGTGCCTAGGGGGTGGGGCTTACATTTTGTGTGTGTGTGTGTGTGCGGCATGGCAAGGACAACGGCGGACATGCTCGGCTAACCGCATCCGATTGCATGTCCTTGCGCAATTAATTGCATTATGTAATTATGCACTGCCTGAAAATGTCCTGGTCTCTTGTTTCATTTTTGCAACTCGAACCATGAACTCATTGAAATTGTGCAAAAAGTATGTGAGTGGCTCGTGCGAGTGTATATAACAGTCAAAAGCTAGCACATAAAGCATATACACATATTCTTGAACCAGCCGAGTTGTTTTGGCCAGATCTGTCCGCTTGTCCGTCTGTCTGTCCGTCTTTCTGTCTGTCTCTATGAACGGGTCGTTCGCGGAGACTTTGACAGCTAAAGGTTTGAAATTGTTAAAGTAGCTCTTTCTATTGTGCGAAAAACTCGAACTCGAACCTTTTAACGAAATCGATTAAAATCGATAACGATTTGGTATTTGATTATCATATATCGAAGCATATATTGAGGTGAAAGTTAACAGATTTGGGATGTAGCAAATGAAAGTGAGCAAAATAAACAGAGAGCCACAACATTTCACTTTTAGAATATCGCCCTTTGAAAAGAAGAAAAGTAAGAAAACTAGAAGAAAACTCACTTTAAGAGGTTTATTCTTGGGCCTTGGTACTTATACACATTTGTATATTATATTGAATCCCTGAAATTTTCTTTAAGATCGGACAATAAACACTGAAGTTATTCAGGAACTCATTTTCATAGTGCGGGTCTTAAGAAGAAAAGATTGCAGTTCAGCTTAACTTCTAGCCCCCTCTACTTCTTTTATTTTTTAATATTAATTTAATTTCAATTTATTTCATATTTTATTTGCTTTTTTTTCAGACTTTTGCTTTTGGACCGCGATCGCCAGAACGGGGTTGTGCGTGGCAATTCGCCGCCGCCCACCTATCGATCTCATGCCGGCAGCTTGCTCAGGTAAGTGTTCGCTTCCGTTTCCCCACTAACACTCCACCCCCCCCCCCCCCCTTCCCTCCCACTGGCTACGCCCCTGCCTCATTTGGGAATTTGCCGCGTGCTCGACACCCCTCGTGAGTTATTTGTAAAGTTTGGCGCTGCAACCACAAAATGTTTACAACGCACAGTTCGAGGTTGGAATAGGAACGCGTGAGGGTTGCTTGCGGCCGAGTGTGGTGCAGGGAACAGAGGAGTGCGGGGGCGGGGCGGTTGGTATTGCAGCATTAGCTGAAGCGTCAGCGGTTTGGCTTTGTGCGGTTTTCGGTGGGCGCCAAAAGCAACAGCAGCAACAACATTTGACACATTGCTTGGGGTTGGCCCACAAAAACTTTTGGCCATTTTTTAAGGCCAAAAACTTTAGAAGCCTGTCAATGGTTTTATTTGTTGCTGCTGTTGGCACAAATGATTTTTGCTTGATTTCGAGTGGGCGTCAGTGAGGAATTTGCAACTTAATTGAATTGAGCGCCGAGCGACTACTTCAAACGGGTGCCCAAAATGGTAAACAATTTAAATGCGCTACAATCCAATTGCCGAGCACTCCAAGTAGCAGAAGAGAGACCGGGCAGACTGGGATAGAAAGCAAGAGAGAGATGGACAGAGAGAGGGGGGGGGGGGGGGGGCGGACAAGGAGCAAATTGAAACAATTGAAATGACGCCGACAACGACAACAAAATGGGGCGCCACAACAATGAGAAGCGAGAAAAGAGGCAGGGAGACAGAGATGGAGAGAGAGGGGGAGTTAAGGACTCTGACTCGGCAGGATAATTGCCGCTTTGATCGCATAATGGCTGCTAATTAGAAAAGTTTACTTTTTATTGCCGCACAAAAGTATTGAGTTGCGGCCAAAGCCGTAAATTTACGCGCTGCTAAACACTGCCCGAAAAAACGAGTGCGACTGTTGAGTGTTGAGTACTTTTGAGTACTCATGAATGTATTCAACAGACAAATGCAAATTTATGGCAAATTAATTTGCTTGTAATGACGCACAAGGCCACATGCACTTAAATATTTATGTCCAATAATTGAAATGAAGGGACAACAATAAGAACAACAGCAAGAAGAAGAAGATGCCTGAGTAATACACATAAGCAGCTTAGCTGTCCAGCAAAAGCAAAAGAAGTGGAAACAATTGAAAATGCGAGAGGCAAAGGCTATGCAAGACTTTCAGATACGACACATTTTACTCGACTCCTTTTCATAGTCCCAAAAGTAGCTCAAAAAGCATGTGCTGAAGACATTTTCTCAATGTATAAAAACTTAATGTAAGAATAAAACTGAAGTTCATTTAAAAGCTCTTACTTAATTCATGCAAATTCTTGTCGTGCTGTGCTCATCATTTTGAACTCGCCCAAATATACTTTAATTAGGTATGAATAAAATATACTTAAATTAAGTATGGTATTTCTTTAAAAAAGTATACTTGCATTTTGCAAGCATTTGCATTTTCATGTATGAAAGGAATAGAATCTTAAGAATTTTATTCTTAAGTTAACAAAAGTCAAACTTATTCTGAAATAGAAATTGGAGATTTCTGCTATGCTAATATGCCCGCTACATAGAGACTCGTAGAGGATGCAGAAAGTGACAAAGAAGTATGTCAAAAAGCAAAAACTTATGCAAAATGTGTGTGGCAGGGAATCAGAGCATACTTTTGGCCAGGCCCGGTTCCTGTGAGTGTGTGCGTGCGTGTGCGTGATGACATATTCAAATATGATGTAAGAACTAACAAAGAAATCTGTGAAATTTTGCAAAATATTTACACACACGCGCACACACACACGGACACACGGACACACTTGAAGTGATGCTCTGTTGCATAACAAGCAGGCGTGTGTTAAAAAGCAATCTGCGACAGGCAGCCAGGCCTGGCAAGGATCAGGGCCAGCATAGAGAAGGCAAACAATTGCCTGGCGAAGCTGTTAGCCAAGTCAATTAAACAAACAAAGACGAGGCCCAAGAGGAGTCGACTGCCTGTGAAAATTGCCTGTTATGCCAGCACAGAGAAATAGAGATAGATAGAGAGAGAAAGGGCGAGAGAGAGAGAGTGAAATTTTCGTCCTTGCTGCTTACTTAGTATTCAAGTATTTCGCATTTCCTTTCGCATTGAATCTTTGTCGGCAACAATTAAATGCAATTTTACATACACCAAATTGCTTTATACAATTTTGAAAATTTGAATTTTTGCTAAAAGCCAACCGACCAATTTTCCATGTCTATAATTCGTTTGTCTTTGTTGTCGGCTTGGTTTCTCCTGTTGACTGAAGTGTGAATTCTGTTGAATTTGGCTAGTCCGGGCAATGCAGCGACTGCCAACAATTGGCCGAACGCCTTTTGTTATTTAAATTGAGCAAGTCCAGTGTGCACACCGAACGGCCCTTCATTCATCTGCTAGATACACAGAAATGTATCTAGATACTTGGACTGCCACATGCAAATTTGTGCATTGACTTTGTCTCATGTCAGCCGCTGCGCAAATAATGCATGCATTTGTTTTCCTGCAACTCACAACTCAATCTAAGATTACGGCCTGTCTGGCCGAGATTTCGTTAGCGAATTCCTGACTTAAAGTCTGTCACAACAGACAGATTATCTGGCCAATAGAATCGAGCAGACTCAGGGTCAGACTCTATATAATTAAATTATATTTTATTTATTAGAATTAAAAATCAGTTCTGCAAACATGTGGCAAACCAATTGCCCAAGTCTGACTAAAGCTTTAGTCTCAATCTAGAACTGACTGAAAGCCCAACTGATATACTCTGTTTACTCCAATTGCAGGGCACCGCTGACCACACTACGCTCGGGCATAGGCGGCGGTGGTGGAGGCACCATCAGCAGCAGCGTGGGCGGCTCCGAGTACAGTCTGCCGCCGAGCTATCGCAGCCGGAATGCGACGCCCGCCTCGCTGACGCTGGCCAGCTGCGAGCGGACCATTGAGACAGCGCCTTCGGGCCGGCTGCTGGCCAATGAGGATCTGCCGGAGTTATCGCCAGAGCAATTGCCCGACTACAGTGCGCTGCAGTCCAACACATTGCTCACTTCGGCCATTGTCGAAATCGAGTCCAGGAATCGCAGCCAAAACCAGGAGAGTCCGTCGTCGACGACGACGACGGCGACCAAGGCCAAAGACCTGGTAACCATTGTGACCATATCCCAGGCCAACAGCGGCAGCGGCCACAACGTGCAGTCAGGTGGAAGGGCTCAGGCACAGGGCCAGGTGCCAACATCATCTCAGTCAGCACTCGACCAGATCGATATATTGGCCCACTTGTAGCCCTGCCCCAGCGAAACTGTAACCGAAACTGAAATCAAGCGGAAAACAAGGCGCTTCATTTGAAAAGTCGCAACAGCTTTTCTCCAGTGCTTGAGTTTTCCTTTTCGTCTAAGCATTATTCTTTTCTTTTTTTTTTTTGAAGTTTGTTTGTTTGTTAATCTTAAACACACTCGTTAACCCAAAGGTATTTATTTGTACGATACGAAAAACTAAAAACTCTGCTCCTAAATGAATATATTGATATATATATATATATATAATAACTAAACCCTAACTATAGTTCATGCATCTTTGATATATACCATATATACCGATAAGCGGCATTTAGACAGTAAGATATATATGTTTGTTGTACTTGAATGTGTTGAATTTATTTTTGTAAGCATCTGAAATGCGCTGCGTATCTATTACGAACTATCGTAAAAGTATTAAAATATTCCAAAAACAAAACAAAAAACGAAACTATCCCCAAAAACAATTAAAAGAAAAAAAATTAACACAATTTTGTAAATAACAATTTCGAGTGCATTTCTAGCATGCATTAAGTGTAGATTCTCCCCCAACCCAATATATATATGCTATATATATGGATGTATGTGAAAAACTCTGATGTAAATTCGCAACGGAACGCTACGGTGACAAATTTTGCGCGCATTTTCGAATAACGAATCAAACGGAAACTGAAACTGATTTCTGAATGCGTTTCAAACAAATAAAAATAAAATATATTATAATATAAAATAAAATAAAGAGAAGAAAAACCTAAAGATAAACTAAACTAATTACGAATAAATTGTAGCGCAGTTGCAGTTGCGTTTGTTATCAATATTAAATACTGATACAGATCGTGCATAAGTACAATACAGTTAGCAAATAAATACTATATATATATATGCTATATATATAAATATATAGAAATACTTAAATCCAACTTTAAGGTCCTCTGTTTTATGTGCAAGGCTAAAATAAACTAAAAAGCAAAACATCTGCAAAAATGTAATGTTGAAATATGCCACAAAAGCCGCAAATTGTTTTTCCTTTCCGCCTGCCAGCGTTCAGCACCAAAAAGGCGTGTCCCCTACCCTCGCACACACACACACACGCGCGCGCACATATAACCATATATCCTGCTTAATCTAGCGTAAACTTGTATTGGCCCTGCGGTCCTTGTAGGCACGGTAAGTGGTCCAGCGATTAACACCCAGCACGCAAAAATGCTGAGCGAACACAAAAATTGACACCTTATTCCATAGGCCAGCGATATGCGAGGAAAATGCCATGAAAATCGCCTCGGAAAATGCCAAATGAAAACAACAAAACTTGGTTGAGCATGAAATTGCTCTTGGCTGTCGAATTGCTCTTGGCTGTCGGGAATGAAAATGAGTTAATGGCGAGATATCGCCATTTAAAGTTTTTCAAAAAAATCGTGTGGTTGTGGACATATTAGTAAAAGAAAATATTGCATACTTTCGAGCTGTCCACATAATACGCTTGAGCTTATCATAATAACAGTTTTACTGCATACTTTTGGGCCGCCCATAAAAATAACCATTCACAATAAACACATTGTAGCAACATTTGACTAAATATTAAAATGCAAATAACTCGGCTAAATACAGTCCGATTTCGAAATGATATACCTCTTTCTACTCGTACGGATCACGACTATCGATTCCCACCCAAAAATCCGCATTCCAAGAGATGACCCAAAATGACCAAAAATACAGTTTTTTTTGCATATATGAAGTTCCTAGTTTAAACTGGCCTTGATCACGAGTCGAACGTGACCAATCTTTTCAAGATCGGACTTTATTTAGCCAAGATACGGCCATTTAAAAAAAGCGAAAATATGCCGTTATAATTTTGAAGATTTTTCGTTTTTTTGCGATAATTCGGCTAATAATGGTCCGATTTTGGAAAGTTAGGCCTTTTTAAACTCGTACTGGTCTCTGCTATCGACTGGCATATCACGTTTTTTTCGAAAAATGACATTTTTCCGAATTCGAAAAACGTTGATAGCATTCGATTCTATGGACCTACGCGAGTATCCCCTCCCTTTTTGGCCGCAATCGGGCTTTATTTGGCCGAGATATGACCATTTAAAGTTTCGGAAAAATATCTTCACACGTCCGCGGGAGATATGACGTTTCAAAACGACATAATCTCCCATGATCAACCATCACGTTTTTTCCGAAAAAATGACTTTTTTCTGAGATCGAAAAACGATGATGGCATTCGATTCTATGGACCTACGCGAGTAGCCCCTCCCTTTTTGGCCGCAATCGGGCTTTATTTGGCCGAGATATGACCATTTAAAGTTTCGGAAAAATATCTTCACACGTCCGCGGGAGATATGACGTTTCAAAACGACATAATCTCCCATGATCAACCATCACGTTTTTTCCGAAAAAATGACTTTTTTCTGAGATCGAAAAACGATGATGGCATTCGATTCTATGGACCTACGCGAGTAGCCCCTCCCTTTTTGGCCGCAATCGGGCTTTATTTGGCCGAGATATGACCATTTAAAGTTTCGGAAAAATATCTTCACACGTCCGCGGGAGATATGACGTTTCAAAACGACATAATCTCCCATGATCAACCATCACGTTTTTTCCGAAAAAATGACTTTTTTCTGAGATCGAAAAACGATGATGGCATTCGATTCTATGGACCTACGCGAGTAGCCCCTCCCTTTTTGGCCGCAATCGGGCTTTATTTGGCCGAGATATGACCATTTAAAGTTTCGGAAAAATATCTTCACACGTCCGCGGGAGATATGACGTTTCAAAACGACATAATCTCCCATGATCAACCATCACGTTTTTTCCGAAAAAATGACTTTTTTCTGAGATCGAAAAACGATGATGGCATTCGATTCTATGGACCTACGCGAGTAGCCCCTCCCTTTTTGGCCGCAATCGGGCTTTATTTGGCCGAGATATGACCATTTAAAGTTTCGGAAAAATATCTTCACACGTCCGCGGGAGATATGACGTTTCAAAACGACATAATCTCCCATGATCAACCATCACGTTTTTTCCGAAAAAATGACTTTTTTCTGAGATCGAAAAACGATGATGGCATTCGATTCTATGGACCTACGCGAGTAGCCCCTCCCTTTTTGGCCGCAATCGGGCTTTATTTGGCCGAGATATGACCATTTAAAGTTTCGGAAAAATATCTTCACACGTCCGCGGGAGATATGACGTTTCAAAACGACATAATCTCCCATGATCAACCATCACGTTTTTTCCGAAAAAATGACTTTTTTCTGAGATCGAAAAACGATGATGGCATTCGATTCTATGGACCTACGCGAGTAGCCCCTCCCTTTTTGGCCGCAATCGGGCTTTATTTGGCCGAGATATGACCATTTAAAGTTTCGGAAAAATATCTTCACACGTCCGCGGGAGATATGACGTTTCAAAACGACATAATCTCCCATGATCAACCATCACGTTTTTTCCGAAAAAATGACTTTTTTCTGAGATCGAAAAACGATGATGGCATTCGATTCTATGGACCTACGCGAGTAGCCCCTCCCTTTTTGGCCGCAATCGGGCTTTATTTGGCCGAGATATGACCATTTAAAGTTTCGGAAAAATATCTTCACACGTCCGCGGGAGATATGACGTTTCAAAACGACATAATCTCCCATGATCAACCATCACGTTTTTTCCGAAAAAATGACTTTTTTCTGAGATCGAAAAACGATGATGGCATTCGATTCTATGGACCTACGCGAGTAGCCCCTCCCTTTTTGGCCGCAATCGGGCTTTATTTGGCCGAGATATGACCATTTAAAGTTTTTCCAAAATATTCGTGTGGTTGTGGACATATTAGTAAAAGAAAATATTTCATACTTTCGAGCTGTCCGCATAATACGCTTGATCCTATTAGAGTAGCTCTTCTACTGCATACTTTTGGGCCGTCCATAAAATAAACATTCACAATAAACACATTAATTAAATACTAAAATGGCAATATCTCGGCTAAATTCAGTCCGATTTCGGAATGATATATCTCTTTCAACTCGTGCTCCGAAGGTAAAAACTCAGCGAATTAAAACGCGAAAAAGATTTCGAAATTTATTAATCAATTGATTTTCTACAAATTACAAACAATTGCAGATGCTTTCGAATCGGGTTACAACATAAATTTAAAAGGTAGCATATAAATTAAATTTGTGGCTTAATTATTTATGGTCGTAACGAATTAGTTAAGGTATTTCGCGAATTAACTGCTGTCAAGCTGCGTTCCTTAGAGGTGACTACGCTCCGATTAGCTGCGGATTCGGTTGATGGATTTTTATTCCTTATGTCGATTTGAAATCCTTTCGCGCGGTTTGTTAGTTGGTTGGTCAACAGCATCGGAACTAAATAACTTTTGTGAAATACATACATATATATAATAAGCATAATAGGTGTGGTTCTCGTATATAATTCGATTATGATATGATGAATAAATAATATAAACATAGTTTGTGTGTGTGTGTGTCGGGATATATATATATATATATATATATATATATATTTATATATATATATTTATATAGAGAGAGAGATATATGGACTGCTGCTGTTGTATCTAATTCGATTTCGTGTCGTTTGCAGTTTTTCATTTCCGTTCATTTAAAATTAGGATAACAGTTCAAAAAACAAATTAAAAGGAAATTAAGTATAATAATTAGGCATCATTTACTTTGATAATTGCAATAAAAAGCTATGCGAACAGCTCACTGTTACGCTTGGGGCTTAGTTAAGAACTGTTGTTGCTAGTAAATCGAGTTGTTGTTGTTGTTGGTGGTGTTGTTGTTGTTGGTGTAGTTGTTAGTGTGCGTGATCCCTGAAGTCCAAAGTCGAGCCGTTAAAGATCTGTTCCGACCTTAGCGCGCATGATTCTTGCAGAAGGGACGACCGCCCTTGTTGTAGAAGCTCTGACCCTCCAGGTTTTGTTTGCAGAACTGTATAGGAATATCGATTCGAATTGGGTTTGAGAATGGATCCGTTTTGGGTCTGCGGACAGAGATACTCACAGTGCAGTTGAAGCATTGGCTATGATAGTTGTGATTGAGTGCCTCCACCCATCTGTCGCCGGCTTCGACGGGGAAGCCGCAAGCGAAGCACTTGGTGGTGAACAGTTCGTTCCAATCGGCCTCGCAGTACGCATTGCCGTCCTCCAGGAAGAAGGGCGTGTTGCCAAAGATCTTGCCGCACTGGCCGCACGTGAAGCACTCGGGATGGAAGTGCTTGCCAATGGCATTCAAGCAATCGCCCTGGAAAAAAGTAATTGTAAGCGTGTGCGCTTTTTTATAATGGACTTGGCAATTACCTTGATCTTGCCAGCGCACTTGCTGCAGGTGGGCGCCAGATACTTCTCGAAACAGTACTCGCAGTAGAGATCACCCTTCTCCTCAACGAAGCCAATGTCCTGCAGTGGACGACGACAGTTGCCGTTCACGCAAATGAAGTGATCCGGGCACCAGATGCGGCCCAGAGCCGTAATGAAGGGGCCCCTGTAAAAAGTACACAACAGCATGATTAAGTAAAACAGATAAAATGAGAACGCAAAAGTGGACGACGAGTGGGCAGGTGCAGGTGCAGGCGCAGGTGCAGGCAAGGCTACTTACGATGTTATCTCCTTGTTGCACTGACAGCAGACCGGACGCTTGCCATCCTTGAGCAACTGACTTACGGCCTTCTCGTTCTCCTCGGACATGGGCGCCTGGGCATCGCCCTGTGGACCCAGCGCCCGGACGCAAACGCTGAAGCTGGGCGCATTTGCCGAACTGTTGCCCTTCTCATTGTTGTTGTTGTTGTTGTTATTGTTGCTGGGCAGGCTCTGCTTGGGCTCAATGTAGGAGCGCCGATCAGCGGCATGTGTGGCGCCCGTGCGTCTCAGATTATTTCTAAAGGCCACCGGCTCCGGCGCCTGCTGCGCCTGGCTCATTGTTGACGTCGTCATCTTGCCACTATCACATATGTCGAGTATCTTACTCATGGGATGATGTGCGGGCAGCTCGGCCTGCAGCGTCTGATCCACACGCGCCACCTGCGGCTGCGCTTGCTGCTTGCCGGGCTCACTCGGCAGCTGCTTCAGCAGAGGCTGCGGCGGTTGGGGCGGCTGTGGCAGCACAGCCACCACGGACTGGAGGGCCACCGGTTGCGTGGGATCAATGTGCTTGAAGTCGTCCAGATCCAGGCGCTTGCGCACAATCATGGGACTCTTGGTCAGATTGGAGCTGCTGTTGCTGCGTAGGCTCAGCGTGCTGCCGCTGTGCGAGGGCGTGGCACTGCCATTGCTGGCGAGTCGCGCCTCCAGCATGTTGGATATAATTTTGCCGGCCTCCTGCATAAAGGCGTGCGTCTGCTCGCCCATGTTGATCTTGCCAATGGAGTCGGCTAGCATAGCCGTGGCATCGGCATCGGCATCCGCAGTCGCATCTCCTGTCGTTGGCGCCTGGTCAGTTGCTCTCTGTGGGCGTGGCAGCGTGGCATTTGGATTAGCATGCGTGTTATTGGGCTTGGAGGCTAGCGAAGGGATCGCTGCAACAATTAAACGAGAACGAGAACGAAAAACAACAAACAAGGTTTAGGGGGTTAGAGCTCGAAACATGCGCAGGATTAATGAGCTATTAAATAAGCTTAGATAAAATTAGATTATATTTAACTGGAGATATTTGGGGCAAACATGCGAGCTGCGAGAACGAGAACGAGAACGAACAACAAGAACTGGAGAAACTTCGTATTGTTGGGAACTGTTCACCTGATCTGCACATTGCAGCTGTTGCACAGCGGGATGCGCACGCCCGGTCCGGCGGCCTTGTTGAGAATGCCGCGTCCACGTTTCGGGGCCGATGTGGCGCCAAAGGCACCGCTCTTGCCGCCAGCACCTGTGGAACCATCAACATTAGAGTTCAAGTCACATATATTGGGCGGAAAACTAGCTGGCGCGGGCGGAGCAGCGGCGGCGGCAATTGTTGGCTTTGGCGCCGTCTGAGCTGCATTAGAAGCATTTTTATTTGGCAGCTTGGCCAGCGCAGCGGATAGGCTGCTGCCAGTGGCTGCAGCTGATGCTGCGCCCCTGTAGGCGGCGCAGGCTTGATTATTAGTCGTGGTAGTAATAGCAGAAGCTTTGGTTAGACTGGCTTGCGCCGACCTTGATGCTGATGATGATGCAGATGCGGATGTAATTGCTGAGGCTGATGCGAGTGATGAGCTGTTGGCATGAGAGCGCAGCTGCTGCTGCGAATTGGAGACCGACTCGGACGTGGACTTGAAGGCGGACTGCTGCTGTTGCTGCTGCTTGAATCCAGGCGGTGGACCTAGCAGCTTATTGGCTGCGACCAGTCCAGCCGCATAGCTGGGCGTCATGGCTTCAGCGGCCGTCGGTTTTAGTGGAAACCTATCCTCAAAGGTGGGCGAGCGCAGCTGGGGAAAGGTGCTTTCGCCCAGCGTGGAAGCCCTCGCGCTGATGGCCTGCGACTGGCTGGTCAGGCTGCTGATCTCCTGCTCCAGGCCAGACAGGCGACGCGCCTGATTGGCCACATAGCCCGTGCGACCATAGGATTGACGGCGTTCCGTCGACTCCGATTGAGCCTGAGACTGCACTTGAGACTGTGACTGCAGCTGAGCTTGTGATTGGGCTTGGGACTGCGAGTGGGAGCCGGTGCGTATCTCGATGGTCTTTGCGCTCTGGGTGCGCTCGAACTCCTCGGTCACCTTGCGTCTGCGCTCGATCTGTGTGTTGCCTATTTGGGTCTTGGTCTGACTCTGCAGCTGTGACTGTTGCTGCTGCTGCAGCAGCGACGATTGCTCCCGCTGCTGTACGCTGAGATTGCCAATCTTCCGTTCGGTGAGCGTCTCCGGTTGCTGGCTGTAGCTTTGGCTACCCGACTGCGTGCTGAGCTCCGAGTGTGCCAGTAGCTGGCCCTGGTAGCTCTGGCCGGTCGTTATGGAGCCCGCCTGCAGGCGTGGCCCGGCGGCGACTGAGAGCAGCGTTGAGTCCGGCTCCTTCATGCGTGGCGCCCGTATGGCCGAGAGCGGATTGGGTGGAGGGCCGGGCGCCGGGGAGCGTGCGCGATCCGGAAAGGGTGAGGCGGCGCCCTGATCGTAGTCGCGCGCATGCGTCGCTGGGCACTCGTCGAAACAGAGCTTCTCGGTCGTCTGGTAGAAGGGAATTATCGGTGCCGGCTTGTTGATCATCGACGAGACCGAGGAGGGCGTGTAGGGCCGCGTGGGCGTCAGCGAATGGTCGGGCCGCTCGTACTCATCTAGTGATTGAAAAGCCATCGTTACTGGACCCGAACGATCCTCTATGATGATGGGCACTGACGGCTGCACCGTTGGCTTGCCCTGGGAGGCAATCGAGCCGCGGGCAGCCGTTGGCGCCGGCCCAGTCGTACCCCCCGTTGAAACCTTGGCAATGGGTCTATGTACAGTCTCGGAGCTGCTGGGCGCTTGCGCCTTGGGTGCATCTACGAAAGCAAGCGGGACATTGTCGCGCAGCTCTTGTGGCTCCGGTGTGCGTATGGGACTCTGGGTGGGCAGCACTGTCCAGTTGCGCTGATATTTGGGTATGGTGTCCGCCTTATGCAGGCCGGACTGTACGGCTTTGCCCTTGAGATGGCTGAGCGGGGACGGTGGCGGGAATAAAACCTCTGAGTGCTCGAGCTCCTCGGCGGTTTCCTCGATTAGCTCGTGGGCATCGAATTTACTATAAGCGGTATTTACAGCTGTCAGGTTGGAGGCGGTTGTGGCTGAAAAGGAGGACCGGCTGCTGGCCTGGACCTGCGCCTGGGTCTCTACTTGGGCGACGTAAGCTGATTTGGAGTTGGAGTTGGCGGTGCTGGTGCTGGTGCTGTTGGTGGACTGTTGGACTGTGGAAGAGGAGTTAGAGGAAGCAGTCGCATTGGAAGCGGTAACAAGCGAGTTCGAGTTCAAGTTAGACGAGTTAGTCTCAATGTGTTGTTGCTGTTGTTGATGTTGTTGCTGTTTCAGTTGATGGATCATCTGTGTCTGGTTGTGAGAGTGTTGCTGGCTCTGGAGCTCCTCTTCCTTTTTGTGATAGTAGTCGAGTCGCTTTTGATTGCGCTGCTGCGCCTTGCAGTACTTCTGGTACTCAAGATCGGTCTGTTCTTTGGACAGGGAGGCAATGGAGGCGCGCGGCGTGTTTGTGACTGTGTTGGGATTGGAGGAGGAAAGCGGTTCGCGAGACGGCTGGAATGCTTGCATTGCCGCAAATGCTGACGATTTGCGCTGCTGCTGCGGCTCCGTTCTGTAGTATTCGACAGATTCTGGCGGCTGCGGCTTGATGCCCAGTTCCTCCTCATGGTCGAGCACCTGAAATTCATATTTTTTTAGTTCCTGCTGCTTTTGCTCCTCGTCAATGCGCTGCGTCGCATTCTCGGGATTCAGTGGGGTGTAGCCGCGATCGGGCGCCGTGCACAGCGCATCGCCCATTGTCAAGTGCTCCTTGGGTGTGGGCAGGTCTATCAAATGGATGGGTACGTCCCGATCGAAGTGTCCCTCGAACGGACGCTCAGGTGCGGTGGTCAGGGCGCTCACGAACGGACTCTTGGGACGGTAATCTTCGCGCAGATAGGGTTTCATATCCATGGGCGGTGGCATATATGGCACGGTCTCCTCGGGCAGCGGCACACCCTCCGCGGCGGGTGGGGCAAAGCGTACCGGAAACTCGGGCGCCGTTGCCATTGCCTGACTGAACCGAGTGCCGCATGGTGGAGACTCGCGCAGAAACTCTGAGCCATAGCTGTCCGAGGGGGCAGTAGGTAGACTAGCGGCAACAGTAGATGGAGCAGGAGGGACGACGACTGCTGGCTCTTCAGCTGCGTCGGCAGCCGCAGCCGCAGCTGCCTCGAAATCATCATCGCAGGGCTTGGGGAATGGACACTCGACCAGATGGAAGGGCACTTCCGGTGCTGTGGTAAGCACTCGAATCATGGGATTGATCCACTCCTTGGGCATGGGATTGGGTATCTTGGAGGGCGCCGGACGTTGGCGCACGGGCGCTATTTCAAAGTTAATCTCTGGCGTTGGCTGAAACATGCGCTCGCTCTCAAGGATCTGACAGCGCTGATCGATGATCAGGCCCTCCCGATCATCAGCCTGCCCGTCGTCGTCTACCCAGGCTGTCACAGCGGCTGCAGCGGCTGCCTGCTCGGCCTCCGCGGCCGACTCAGGTATCGTCTCCAGCTCTGTGTGCAGCTGGGGCAGCTCCTTGATCTCGGGCTCATCGTTGAATGCCACGTGGCGTCCAGCAGGTGCGGGCGCTGGCGCTGCCGCCGGAACGGGACTGGGCGTCACTTCCCTTACCATATCGATCAGCTTGTAGGTGCTCAGCGGTGCTGAGAGCGAGTCGACGCATTCCTGTGCGCTTCGCCGGCCCGACGCAGACTCGTGCACATCCTGGGCACTGCCATAGTACAGCTGATAGTCCAGCTCGGAGCCGGACTGCTCAAAGGCCTGCTGCATCTGATAGGCCTGCAGCTGGGCGGCATACATGCGCTGGTACTCCTCCGAGGTGTTGGTTGTCGTTGTCGATGTCGAAGTGTAGCTGTCCGAGCTCGATTCCTGTTCCAGTTGTGCCTGCTGCACCCGTTGATTGGTCAGCTGTGGCGCCGAGTAGCTCTGCCACTGAGGAGCCTGCGCCGGCTGCAACTGCTGCGCCTGTTGCGACTTCTGCTGCACTTGCGGCTGCGGATCGAGTCGCGAGGTAGCACTGCCCGGCGGCAGCGGTGGCACCTCCTGCACAGGATTTGCCACCACTACATGCTGCGTCTCGGGCGGCGCTATATAAAGGGGCGCAGCTGTTGGCGCCGTGTGACCCTCGTCCTGTGGCGGTGGCCAGGAGAAGCTTGAGCCGTGGGAGCGTCGACTGGCGGCCAAGGCGACCTCAACGTCCACCTCATAGCATTCCTCCTCAAACTGCGGCTGCAAGCCTTCCTCCTCCAATTCTGAGCGGGGGTCGGTTGTGGTCGAGTTGGGGGTAACGCGTTTGTGTGCGGGTTTGCGGATTGTTGGTTAGTTTTGCATGTGGGGCACGGGTCATGGGGCAGGTGGCAGGTGGCAATGGGCAAATATAAGAGCAGAAAGAAATAAAATTCATACGCTTGTTAGTCGTTGGCACTGTGCAAAGCGGCGGCAGAGGCAAAGTCGAAGGTGAAGGCGTTGGCGTTGGCGTTGGCAGAAGCTCAGGCAGAGGCAGAGGCAGAGGGGAAGGCAAAAGGGGAGGCGGTGGCGGTGGCAAAGACGAGATGTCAAAAGGCGGCGCAAACAACACAGCAACAAAACTAAGCGGGCGAAGGGCTAAACTAACTACAAGTGCCAGACCCTGCAACCAGTCACGACAATTTTACCAAGCCGCTTAACAAGCAGCTGAACAGCTAAGCGGCAACTTCTTACATAATACCAAAACAGTTTAAATGTGTTCCAATTAGTGTTATTTGAAATACTGACGGTGTGTGTGTGTATGTGTGACTTGTGAGAAGCGTATATGAACAGGAACTGGCTGAGCCTGAGCTAATTTGATCGAGAAATAATATTACGCTAAATATATCAAATATAATAATAGTTGATTTTGATGATTTCATATATATTGAATAATTAGGAAGACACTCGTCTCTGTCGGCCATTTCATAAGTAAATAAAATAGTGACGAATAGTTAGGAGACGTCATGAACCTGCGTGTGGCTCTAGTTCAAATTCAACAGCAAATTTCAATTTTTATATTTGTTGACGAATAACATATTTATAATAAATTTAAGCGTTTGTTTTTGAGCCGGGCGACGCCGGTTAATTTAGTTGGGCAACAAATCTTTCTTAACTGAGTATATGCAATCGAAAAAACGCGAAAACAATAATATATATAGTGTAACAATCTGTTGTCGCACAAAAACATAAACAAAATATCGCTTGCAGCAATATTTTGAGGGCAGAAAAAATATAATAATATAAATGAGAATGCGCGACAGGCGCGGCACGAGTTGACAATATTGCAGAATGTTTTACGCGCCATGTGCGCGGGCAAATAAATTTTTCATTTCTTATTTTCAGGCCATTTTCATGGCGCAACAATAAACACACGCACACTCACGCATCTTGTGTCTGTGTGTGCTAGACAGCAATACGTGCGTGCGTGTGTGTGTGTGTGCGTGTGTGTACAAGTATTTACTTCCATTTTTTATGGGGCCCACGTCTGTGCAGAGCCAAAATGGCGACGACAGGTAGTCATTGGCTTTTATTATGCATAATTTCATATTGCCTGTAATTTTGCAGAAATTGAAAATGGCAGACACACACACGCACACGCACACACACACACACACACACACACACGCACACACACACACACGTACAATAAAAAAGAGACATAGAAGGAGAAAGTCGCGTATATAGCAAATATTTTATCATATCAGAAGAAAATAAACTGTCCACAACAGACGGACAAAAACAATAACAGAAAACGAAAAGTTTCGGAAAAGTCGCAATAATAATAATGAAAGGCCGGCCCCAAAGAAAGTTTCTTGGTATATTCAAATACATTAACTTATGTATGTGAAGGCAAAAGGCATGCAAAGTTGTGCAAAGTTTGGCGAATTCTCGGGCAGCCCATTCTATTAGTATTTGAGTATAAAATACAGAATAAAGAGTAGATTATATAGATACATATCCTGTATTTGTTGATATGTATTTATCGATATGTTTTAGAGAGTGGTTAGGCGCAAAGCGTTTAGCGTACATAAATCAATTATGTAGAAAATAATACATATACTAAGTATAATACATGTGCATATACAGATACTCATCAATATTTTTACTGGGCATGACGCCGCAATTTATTGAGAATTCATTTAAAATTGAGTATAGGTTTCAGGTATTCTGTTAATATGAAGTATATAAATAGTAAGTACGACTTAAGAAAAAATTGTGTGTTAAGAATTTGTTTGATTTTTTGTTGTGAACAAAATTTCCAAAAAGAATTTCCAAAAATTCACCAGCTTTGCCGAAAACTTTGCCCTTTTGTAATTGTTTAAGTTTTTCTAATAGGAATATTGGTAACCGTAACCTAAAAGAAGCCAGAAGAAAAACCAGAAATGTTCATCAAAATACAATGTCTATTTTTTGCTGTTGTTGTTAATACAAGCTCGGAAGCATTTTCCGATAAATTTAGAACAATAGTTTCCCACCAGACAAAATGCATACAATAAATCACAAAGCCCAAGACGGAGCGAACCACTCCAACTGCGACTTGAAGGAATTTGAGGCATTTGATGCATGGACGCCCGGCACGCTGCCAGCCGAGAGAGAGAGAGAGAGAGAGAGAGCTCTCTCTAGAGAGAGACAGAAAGAGCTGGAGAGGGAGAGAGCGGAAGAGGTGGACAGACATCAATAGAGCGCAAAGCAGCCAGCACAGGATGTCAGCCTGTTTGGATAATAATGACTGGTAATTTATCTGCCTTCGTTTACATTGTTGTGCGTCGTGTGTGTGTGTGTGTGTGTGTGTGCGTGTGCGTGCGTGTCGGAATGTGTGTAGCACAAACATTTGTTTGCCAGCACATTTTTTTTGCAGCCCTGCCCCCAGTCCCCCTTTCTGTGGCATTTGCTAACTGGATTTGTTTTTATGTGTGTTTCGGCGGCTTTTGGCAGCTGCGGCTGGCGGCATGCCGCCAAACCAAGCAAAAAACAAGCCAAAAACCAAAGCCCTTAAAGCCGCCCCACACCCCACTCCCGCCATCACTGCTCCCGCAGAAAACAAACTCAAATAATGGCTGCGGTTGTGCGTGATTCTCGCTTTGATTGGGAGATTGATTTTGATTTCTGACGCACGAACTTCTGGCCCCAAAGGTGGAATTCAGCACTTGCTTTGATTAATGCGGCCGGTGTTGAGCGGAGGGGGGTAAGGGGGCGTGGGAAGCTGGTTTCTTCTTTTGGCATGTAATAATTGCATTTTTAATTGCATGAAGACGAAGAAAAAATTGGCTCATAAATTGCATTGTTGCCATTTCGATTGTTGTTGTTGCAACTGCTGTGCGCCATATTTGCTGTTAATTCATTTCCGTTATGACAGCCAACAACAATACAGACGCGTAATTGATATACAAACACACACACACATATGCCAACATATATGTATTGACTTTGCATGCACACACACTTGTATATGTATGTATATAAAGAAAAATGGTTAACATTGGTGTGAATCCAACGCGAACGAAGGCGTAAAAGAACAGAACCGCGAGCACAGTGAGCGCCAAAATTAATGGCACACACCAATTATCAACTCTTTATATAAAGCTAACAATTCTTGAAAAAAGTTTAATTGATTTTAGACAAGCTCAAAATAAAATTATGAACATTTTCGAATTAAATAGAAATTATACCGAATATACCAGCTAAATGTGACTAGAGATGACTTTTAGTAATATTTGAACTAAAGTCAAGCTTTCTCAATCAAGAAAACTGGAAGTTGATTAATGGCGACTGTGCGCTGACTGCTTGCAGTCAGTGTCGTTTGATATGCTGCGCATACCCTGCACATATTTGCCATGCATTTAAAGTTTTATATGTGGAGAGATGGAGACAATTGGGGGGCGACCGCAGATATTGCAACGTTGCAATGCCGAACCAAAATACATTTTATATCATTTATATTACTGTGTGTGTGTGTGTGTGACTGTGTGTGTATAGGAATTGTTTCGTTTTGCAGCATTACGTAACGTGTACGTAACGTGCAGTTGGGTTTCGGTTTGGGTTTGGCTTTCAGTGCCATGAAATGTGCCGGAAGCGGGCAACATTCTCTGCCAACAGCAACTGCAACTGCAATTGCATTGGCATTGAAAATGTTAACACACACACACACTCACTGAAACACACACACACATGGAACATACCCCATCCCGTGCAGGCGTCATTGTTGTCCGTTTTAATTTCCCGTCTGGCCGTATTATAACTTATTTACTTGAAATGATTTTACCTATCAGCAATTGGGTCTGTCAACGTGCATGTTGCATGAATTATTTACTTCTACGTGTGATTAACTCTCTCAAATTGCTTTCTACGATCAGCTGCAGCCAGTTGCATGTAAACTTTCGTGTGTGTGTGTGTGTGGCATGTGTCAAACAACTCAAGTAACTCAACAGCAACAAAAATAGGTTAACGAACAAAAACTACGCGTTGCAAGTTGCCAAGAGGCTGCTGCTGCTGCTGCTGCAGGCTGTTGCTGCTGTTGTTGCACGAGCAACAATTGCTGTTTACCTCGATTGTAGTTATTGTTATAGATGTTGTTGTTGTTGTAGGACTGGGTCTGAGTGTTATAGTTAGGCAGGGTGGCATATTTATTGCTCGATCCAATTGGGTATGAGTTTCTATATTGTTGCTTTTGTTGCTGTTGCTGCTGGTGTTGATGGTGTTGGTATTGATGTTGTTGTTGTTGTTGTTGTCTGTTGACACTATTGTACCTTTGCACAGTACGACCTATACATAGACACATACATATAAATATATACACAAACTCAAGACACTTGCAACGATTTTGGGGTAGACGAAAAGAGTAAAAATTAAATAGAAAACATTTTTGGGTCGATTTCGTTTTTGCACTTTTGCCAAATTGTTTCTATGCATTTCGATTAGTTTCGATTATTTAAGCAGGCGAGGGACGGTTGCTTTGTTTGTTTGTTAGTTGGTCGCTTCGTTTGCTTTTCGAGTTAAATTTATTTGCATTAAAAAACTTTTGATATATCATGTGTTTAACTTAACAACAGATCAATTTATACATTTAATACTAGAGCTGCCAGTGGACCCCCGCTCTAAACAAAAACAAAAACTAAAACAAAAAAAGAAAAACTAAACAAAACAAGCAGCTAAAACTCGCAGAATAAATATTATATATAAAGAGTTAATAAGTTGTATATCACACGCCCACATTGAATAGTTTCATGAGTGTTTTTTCTTCTTCTATCTGTTTCTGTATCTGTAACTGTAACTGTAACTGTGACAGGACTAAACCCATTCACCTTCTGACTGAGACAGTGTCTCGTACTCATCGTCAGCTGTCATCGTCTTACCTTGTTGACCAACATTGGAGCGCGGCAAGGTGGCATAGGGATTGCCAGCGGGGCGTGGCGATTGCTGCTGCTGCTGCGGTGGATACGAGGATACCGGCACCGGCGACTTGGGCGCTGCCGCTGGCGGCTGAGAGGCGCCGTAGGGGCGCGCATAGCCCTGGTTGACCTGGCAGAGAGAGAGAGAGAAAAATGATAAGATTTGAGGATTTAATATGTATTAAGTCGAGAGCAGGCACTGTTAACAAAGAACATTAAACAGTTTGTGTTAGAGAGGAGCTGGCTAGGGGCTAGCTGCGAGCTGGAGCAGGGGCGGGCGCGGTCGCGGTTGCGGGCGCCTACTTACCCGATAACTGGCGCCGGCGCCCTTACCAGGCGGCTGCACGCTGCGTATCACATTTCCGGTCAAGGTGACATACTCGAACGGCTGATCCGAGCCGTTCGCGGATGTCTGCATGCACGGACCTGTGCACGCAGCGGAGTCGCCCATGTTGTTGTTGTTGTTGTTAATGTTGTTGCTGTTGTAGCTGCTGTAAATGGCTGACGATTGCTCATCCGCCACGTGGGCGGACATTATTTCAGACTGCGCTGGATTACTGTTAGCTGTAGCTGCTGCTGCAGTTGCTGTTGCCTGATGTGAATTAAATTTCAATTGATTAGCTAGTGTTGCCGTCAGCGCGGCGACATGTGGCTGCAGTTGCCCAGTTGTTGCTGTTGCTGTTGTTGTTGTTGTTGTGCCTGCAAATGGCTTGGCCGTGTTGTTGTGTCTGTTTGTTGTTGTTTCTGTTGCTGTTGTGTGTGTGTTGTTGCTGTTGTTGCTGTTTGGGTGTTGCTGCTGCAGCTTATTGGCATACTGCTTTAGCAGCTGATTATACGCATTATGGCTCTTATTCTGCGTATTCATGTCATTCTCATTCTGTGTGGACCTTAGCGGTGAGGGTGCGGGTGCGGGCGCTGGTGGCGGCGGCGGCGGTGGCGATGGCATTGACATTGTATAATTATCAACGGGACACTGCACAACACTGGCCACATCCAGCGACGTGCAGGAGCCAGAGGCTTGGCGCGAATGCTGCGGCGAGTGCTCCATGTCCAGGGACAGCGTCGAGGCGCTGGATGCCACCAGGCTGGGGCTCAACTGAGCACAGCCGCCCACACCCGACGAGGATGTTTGCGAGGAGCCGCTCGAAATTGATGAGAGGCTGCGTGTGTGTTTGCTGGCCTGTTGCTGCTGCTGCTGTTGCTGCTGCTGTGGATCTGGGTTTGGGTGTTGCTGGGCAAGTGGGTTGGCTGACGCTGAGCCTTGTGTCGGGTGCTGCTGTTGTTGGTTTTGGGGCACCAGCAGCAGCTCCTCGGCTTCGTATTGCAACAGCTGTGTGGGAGAGGGTGGCGGCGGCAGGGGCAGCTCACTGCTGCTGCAGTCAGGCTCTGGCATTGGCTCGGACTAATGTGTTAATACGAGCGCGTGTTAATGGGCGGGGCAGGCAGGCAGGCGGGCGGGCGGTTGGACATCACGCACATGAGCAACAGCGGTTAGCGGGTGGGAGGCATGTAAATTGATGCACAGTTAATAAAGGCAGTTAATTAAAATGCAGAGCGAAATTTCTGAGAGGCTTTAAACTACGTGTGTGTGTGTAAAAGAGTGTGTGTTTAAAAGTGTGTGTGTTTGGCTGCGTGTCAACGTGGCGTATGAGCAATGTGTGCACTAAAAATAACTAATAGGTCAAGGTCAATTCTCTGGCTAAAGCTAGCTCCTGGAATGTGTCAAGATTATGTGTGTTAAATAATCCAAAGCGTATTCCAATAAAGAATAAAAAAATTCAGTTTTCACACGTTATGCAACACTCAAGAAGCGGCGACAAATTCTGTTGCGCATTTCCAATGGAAAAATAAAACTCTTTTTACTTTGCACTCGAATTAAATGATGAACTATTTGGAAAAAGACACTACGCAGTGAGTTTTCTTTTGCTCCCTTTTTGTATTTTATGTACTTTTTAAGCACTTAAATATTCGTTTTGGCGATTTTGAACACTGCACTCTGCAGCATTCGAGCTGCCTGCGTGCCGCGGACACGAGTTGAAGAGGCAAACTGAACGCAAATTCGGCCAAGAAGATGAGCTGTGGCTGCCGCAGCTGCGGTTGTGTGCAGCTGTGTGGGGTTTTTTATAGCCGTAGCATAAAAACAAAAAGCCACAAAAATAAAATTGTAATTGAAATAAATAAAAAAATGTGCAGCGCTCGGCACAAGGTATAAATTTAGCACTTAGCCATTCGACAATTCGACTATTTGGCCATTTAGCAGGCATTGCACATTTCACAGAAATGCGCTGGCCGTAGCCAAAAAACTGCGAAAACTTTGCCAGTTGCCATTTGTCAGTTGTTTGTAGCCAATTGTGATGCATACTCGAATATCTGAGCCGAATCTACACGCCTGCTTAAGATTACTGAAAAACGCAACCAGTTGACTTTCTATTTATAAATAAAAAGTCGAGACTTGTGGGCGATGCGCATCGCATCGCATCGTATCGCATCGCAGTCCTAATTTCAATTGACAACTTTTGTGCCACATTTCGTGGTACCTGTTGCTACACTCGGCGAAAAGCTGCCAACTAAATTCTAGCATAAATGAATGTCAATTCATTTGCATATTCTAAATAATCAACTAATATGATAAATTAAGTCTTTAAAAGAATTGTAATGCTCACAATGAGCGTGAGATAGTTAATAGAAAACTTCTGAAATTAAATTTTCCACTTGAATTAAGTATTAAATAAGTTCTTGAAACAAAAATAATGTTTTAAGTGTGAGAAATATTGCTAGTATCTCGATCTTTATACAGAATGCGTACAGTTATTTCTTGGAATGTATTGCAAGCTAGTCCATCAGCTGGTAGTCGAATATACCCTATATATAATTTACCCTAGCTGAAGCTTAAGCTTCTCTAGGGTGGCTTTCATAAGATTAATCCGTCGCACACAGCTCAATTACAGCCAGAATCAAAGGCAGGTTGGGAACACACAATTAAAAAGAGCTCTCGATGGGAAGGAGTAAACATAATAAACATAATAATAATTGCATGCAGGCAAGAAACAAACGAATTAGCAGGCACACACACATACCCACACACATACACATACACACACGCACACAGACACAGCCCGACACACTTGTGCTCAAGTGAAAACTCAAGCATAACACACAAATGCATAAACTTTTCCATTTTGTCGTTTTTATCGCTTTTGCCAGAATAAGAAAAGTAAACAAAAACAACAGCTAGAAGTTGAAGTAGTCGTGGAAGAAGAAGAAAAGGGGGCTGAAGAGGGGGCCAACATCTTTGGTAAAATTGCATGAAAATGCTTGAAAGTTGTTTTTTTTTTCTCGCTCGATTTTTTTTTGCGCTCGCCTTGAAACTTTCTGCATTGCATTGCATTTTTCTTTCTGGCCAAATGATTTTTAACATTTTAGCATATGGATGTCTGCCGCAAGCGAAAATTTATGCAAACATTTTGCCAGCAATATGATAAAATTGATTGTAAAAACAAGATGAAGCCGAGCAGCCAGCAGACGAGGGATAACAAAAAAAAAAAACAAGCAGCAGTAGAAAAATATGAACAAGCGAGCTTCAGGTGCGTCTTTGGGGTCACAAAACTTTTTGCCCTTCGCCCCATTTTTACTTGGCTCAAGCCATTTACTTTGTGCATTTGTGTGTGTGCGAGTGTGTTTGCGAGTGTGTGTGTGTGTGTATGACAAGATTGTTTTTAGCACGCTGGGGCACAACACACACGGAGAGAACAGTTAACAAGTTTAGCATGACTTTTACTTACCGGTGCCGGTGTGGGCGTGGCATTGCCATTCGAGTAGCCATTGCTGCCATAGCCGTGGGAGCTCAAGGCCGAGGAGATGGTATTGGCGCTCAGCTTGGTGTTCCTGCGGCAGAGAATATGACATGATTAACACGAAATAGTTGCCATGCAATGCGCTCTAATTGGCTGATTTACCCCTCTCTAATTGCCAACCCCCCCTCCCCCTCACTCAGGAGAGTGACCCGTTTGAGCCCTTTAATTAAGTGCGATTTGCCATTTGGCCAAAATTCAAATAAATCCCAAGCGCCCAATTGACATGCACAAGCGTTTGTCAGCCTAACGAATATAACATATATATATATATATTTTTTTTTTCGATGACTAGCCACACACCTCTGGCAGCTACCGACCCCCCCCCCCCCCTGCTGCCCTCCTCCCGCAGTTTGGCTGCAATTGCATTTAATAAAAATTTGCTGCTGCTGAAAACGTCAGCGAAAATCAGTTGTCAGAGTTTTCATGTCCACAGCAGATGCAAAAAGTGCCATTCAATTGGCAACTGTATGGACGAAGGGGGCTGTGGGGCTTAGGGGGGAGGGGTTGGAGTGCTGGATTCAGGGTTTCCAAGCAAACACAATGCCGCGACATCCGTTCGGCTGCCCCATCGAAATGTCAAACGTGTTTTGGCATACGCAAAAATATGCATTTATATATATTGCAAAATTCATATTCACATTCACATTCGCATTCGCATTCACATTTATATTCATATATTTCTTTTTATATTCATTTGTTCGACCCGACCAATTCTACAGCAGACAAGAGTAAAAACAACAAAACAAACATAAATAAAGAAAAAAAAAGGTCAAAGGTCTAACACTTGTTACTTTGATTCTCAACTTCTAGTCGAGCTGCATTTACAAGTATTTGGTGTTCTATGATGTCTAACCCCAAGTTGAGCTGCATTTACAGAGTATTTTGGTACTCGGCGTTCTTTGATGCTCTAATTCAAGTCTCGCTACATTTACAGGGTATTTTGACAAGTTATTTAGCGTCTACTTACGGCTTAATGGGCACTGGCACATAGCCCTCGGTGCCGGCTGGTGGATGCTGCTGGGCAGCCAGCTTGGCATGAATGTCGCAATAGAGCTTGTTGTTGAAGTTGTAGTAGCCCTGGTTCTTCAGGGAGGTGCCACAAGTGGCGCACTTGAAGCACTCCACGTGCAGATTCTTGTCCTTGATGCGCACAAAAACGCCGCTAAATGGGGCAGAGAAAACATATTGTAAGCTTATATTTAACAAATCTATCCTGAAAAGCTTTTCAAAACTTTATTTCAACTCTTAAAAGTTTTGAAAGGCTTTTGGAAATCGAAAAACGATTTTCAGAGCTTTGTGTATGTTATCGATAATTAGGCAAAATGAATGTGGCATATTCTCGTTAGAAAATGGAAACATGGTTAGAAATTAATAAAAAATAAATTCCGAATTAAACCTTAATGGAATAGCAATAAACGATTGTACGTATTGTGTATATGCAATATGTATTATCGATAATTAATCGAAATGTACTTTGCATATTCCAATTAGAGGATTGTGTCTTTTGGTAAGCAATATATATATATATATAAAATATATTAAAATTGATTTAAAACTCGTTAAACGATTGACCGATTTGTAAATGACGAAATTTTATTTAAAATTTCTCCATAAGAGGATGCCAGATCCACGATAATTAAAAAATGAATGAACGATTGACAGCTTTAACTATGTACAATATGTTTTATAGATAACTTATCGTAGATGGCTTAAAGCACGCAACTGTTAGTCAGCAAAAGGTAAGGTAAAATAAATTTCAAATGGTAAATAAAGTAAAATAAAATATGTTAAATCTACATAATGAATTATCGAATTAATTTTCATGAGTCGTCAATGGCAGCCAATTAAATTGGCATACAAATTAATACAAATGATGATGGTATTCCCATGAGCCCAACTGGAGCTCAGCGCCGCAGTCGCAGGTGTTGGAGGCGTCTGCATAATAATCATGTGCACTGCATAAATTTCAACAATTGACTTCGAAATAAAAGCAAATTAAAATGCGTGCGCAGACACACGAGCCACACACACACACACACACATTGAGAGACACAGAGGCATGAATTATCATTGAACATGGAACACAAATCCTTACACAATGCCCACGCCGCACAATTGACATGCCGGATGTCCGCTGGCGGACAAAGGACGCACACCACCAGCATCGCTGGCCAATGCCGCTGCAGCCGCATCCATATCCGCCTTGTAGTCGGGACCCTGCAGCGCCGGGCATATGGGCATAACAATGATGCGCGGATCGGCCTGCTCCTGCTGCTGCTGCAGCTGCTCCTCCTCGGTCTGCTGGGGCTTCGCAACCGGCAGACTGGGCCTGTGCGTGGCCGCCGGCGCCAGCGTATTTTGCTGCAAATTGGTGCCGATGCGCTCATCCTGGCGTCCTGCCTGCGACTGCGACTGCGCCTGCATTTGGCTGTGGGGCAGCGGCGTGCGGCGCTCGTTGCCGCCAATCGCGTGGCTCTGCGTCCAGTAGAAGTTGGCCGGGCTGTGCGGCTCTGTAGCGGAATTATCGCCATGTGGTTGACAGCACAAAAGTTCAATCAGTTCACAAAGCCTTTGACAAGTTATTTGCAAGTAATATTTGTATGTTTGTGTGCGTGTAGGACGCCCCCAGGATAACACTAGAACAGCCCCAGGACACCCTAGACCTAGCCCAAACCTAAACTAGAACAGCTCGAACTCAACTCAGCTATGCTTAAAATAACATGAACTTAGTTACCTATGAGTTGCAGGCAATGTTAATTAGAGAGCTGTCACATTATGTTATAATGTTAATATTGCTTCTAAAGTGAGTGAATGACATACACAAAGAACACGCACTCAGCTCAGCAACACTTGAAATTACATTAAGTTATTCAACAATGAGTTGCAGGCTATGTTTATGTTAATTAGAGCGCTAATGTTAATGAGAGTGTTAATGTTAATGTTAATGTTATTGTTAATGTTCTTGTTGTTACACAAATGCACTTTAGTTTTTGTTTTGGTTTTGTGGCCCACTTACGTAATGAGACGTTCGCATTCGGTGCAAATGTTTTGCCCAGTTGGCAGTCCACCGGTGCTCGGGGGCTTTGGTGAATTGACGGGGGCGTTAACGTGCCGGGTGGCGTTTGATTGTTGTTGTTGTTGTGGATAGTGTTGGTGTTGATGTTGATGTTGTTGTTGTTGTTGGTATTGTTGCTGCTGTTGTTGATGGTATTGCTGCTGATGCTGTGGTGCATCATGCTCATAGTTGTTGTTGTTGTTGTTGTTGTTGAATGCTGTTAACAGTGTTTGATGAGCAGCCATTTTGTATTGGTTGTTGGTTTTTGGTTGTATGTGTGCGTGTATGAAAAAGAGTCGAAATACAAACATGAGTTAGACATAGACCGAAAAAGGTATTGTATGCAAGCCCTAACACACAATTGAATATTCAATTTAAAGAGATTTTTCCAAATTGTTAGCCACTTTGCAGTTCCATGTGCAGTTGCTCAAGAACTATTTATAATACTATACCTACAAACTAAATATATGTATTTTAGTCTTTATGACATAATTATGGAAGAAGTTGGGGGAGAGAGTGGGAAAGAGATGTATTTGTTTGGTAAATGTTGTGTGGGCTGCTTTAGAAATTCGATTTGACATAGAGAAAACGAAAATCCATTTCTTTATCTAAGCACATAAAACAAAGGCGATACAGAAAATAAAACAAAACATAAATATTAAATACAATTAAATTCAATTAAATACAAAATAAAACCAACCAAAAACCAGCACGGCTGACTAATAAAATATTGCTATGCCCTACAGCGATAGTTCCCAAAGATAAACTCAGTTCAAGGTCTCTGCTGTGTGTTTTAAAAAATGTAAACGCTGCTCTAATCTGGCTGCCTATTTATAAGTGTATGTAAACCAAGAGACAGAGAGAGAGAGAGAGAGACAAAGTGATCAGCTGGCAGCCTGCCCTACTGAGTACATGGCGGATGCGTAATATTACACCTAAAGACCCTAACACAAGTTCGCTCAAATTAATCGGTGAGAGTGTCGCTCACAAACGGATTGGCGCCCTCGTTTAGCAGCAGGAGCAAGCGGGCCAGTTCATAGTTGGCTGCATTACCTGGAGTCGATCCACCTGTTTCCTCCTCGCGCAGGAACTTCAGCACCTCCGAGCGATCGGCCTGGTATTCCTTTTCGTTCTTCTTAAAGTTGACACTAGAAAAAAAGAGAGGGCGGATATGAGAGACTTGTTAACACACTTTTCCATTGCATACTTTCGGCTGCAAGCGCACAAAGCGCACGGCGCGCAAAAGTATGCTGTGATAAATGAGTGCGGCCAACATTGTTGCGCATACGCCGCGATGGCCACCGCAAAGGCCGCTCAAAATAAAATAAAAATACCAAGAAAAAAACAAAACAAAAAAGATCCCCTAAAGAAATTAAGTGCAAAAAGCGCGCAAGTCCCACGCGTGCATTTGTTGTAAAAAGAGCCCCAACTCGACAACTGGCAAAACAGTGAAAACACTTTTGGCCAACAGCCCGACTCTGGACGGGGCGTGGCGGGTCGGGGCTGGGGCTATCATTTGGCGGCATTGCACACAGCTTTAGACGCTTAGGCGCAGTATCTGGCGCAGCAGCAATAAAAAGAAGCCAGAAGACCAGCGCGAAAATAAGCAAAACAAATTTTAAAGTAAAAGTTTTGTGGCATTCGCCTGTCACGGCTCTTGCGGCCCAGCATTCCAGACAGTTGTTTCTATACCCTGTTTATATAATTAAGAAAAAAAGGAGTATAGAGTGCAATATTGCAGCTGAAGACTCTTGTAACTTGGAATATATACTCAGGGTAACGTGTTAAGCCTTTGCGGCCCAGGCCTACTTGATACGTTGGAAATTAGGTCTACATTCTGCTACTGACTTCAATTGAACAGTTTTACAGCCACTGCTGCTTACAGTCTGAGAGTCAGCAAGCGGACTCTTTTCGTCTGGCTTAAACTGCAATTGAACAGAGTATTCCCTAGTTGGCCACACCTCCTAGCTACTCATGTTTTTATTTGGCTCTTGTTCTTTTCTTTTTCATTTATTTAGTTGTTTTCTTCTTTTTTTTCACTTAGGAAGGGCCCATTGTTGAATAACTTACCCGAGCACACCGCCAGCCAAAACCTCCGCCTGGGCGGAGAGTGTTTCCGCAATAGATTCATCGCTGTAAATGCCAACCGGGGTGTTGTATTGTTTATTGACGATGCTCTTCACGCCGCCATCGCCGCCACCGTTGGCCTATTCCAAGTTGAAGTAAACACAAACACAAATATAAATAGAAAAGATGAAAATGTGTGAATGAATAATGGAAAATCAATTTCTGTTTCGGTTTCTGTTTCAGTTTCGGTTGCTGTTGCTGTTGCTGTTGCTATTTACGGGTGCTCACTGTGCTGTCACACAAAATTATAATAATACAAATTCATAACAATAAAATGTACGCAAATGTATGCATATCACACACACACACACACACAAAATGAGAGTCATTGATATTATTATGCATGGCACATATATGTGTGTGTGTGTGTGTGTGTATGTGTGTGTGTGTGTGTGTGTGTGAATGTGAGCCCTTTGCACATTAATTCTTGCCAGCAAATAATCCTAGCACTCATATTCATTACTCATTCTGACACTTTTCAAAACTACGCACAAACAGTCTGACAGACAGGGGGACGGACAGACAGACATATAAATGCAAATGTTGTCAACTCATAGAAAACAGACAAGTTCCGACTCCACCCGAAAATAAAATGAATGAATATGAAAACCCACAGAGTACAACAATGAGACACACACACACACACATACACAAGCACATGCATAGGGATTGTGACAGCAGCTCTTTCCCAGGAGACTAACTATCAACATCATTGGTCATCAGCACGTCACTTGTAATTGTGTGTGTGTGTGTGTGAGTGTGGGCGCATTTAAGCTAACGTTAAATGCTAGGGCTGAGCACGGGCCTCATTATCGAGCCACAGCTTAACACGAGCACAAAACATGCACTTGCAAAATAGTCCAAGTATTTTTTCGGAGTTTTTCATAAACTACATTTATGTAGATTTTTGCGACAGACAAACTACAGACTTTCTTGTCTAGACATTTTATTTAACAACTGTCTCACTTTGGCAGGATTTTCATTAACAGTTTTATGAAAATTATGCTGGCCAAGATTTGCTCAAACTTTTTCTGAGGCCTGAATCCTGTCGTGTCTGTTTCGTGAAAAAAGCACGACCGCGCCCATCTCTAACAGCTGCGTTTAAGGTGTAATTCCCAACCCATTACAACCCACAAACTTGCAGCATTTTAAGTTTTGGCCAACACGTTGAGACTTTATAAATTTTATAAATGATGCCTCTTGCCCACAAATGTATGCTACACATTTTGCTAGCTCTCTCTCTGTGTCCCTTTCTCTCTCTGTGTGTGTGTCTGTGTATGATTTCAAATTAGTTGACTTACAAATGGACGCGCCGAGTTGTTGTAGCCACAACCAATGTGCTGGCTGTCCGGTTGATGATGAGCCAGAGAAGTTTTCGTCACTGTCTGCAAATAGGGCGAATTGGCCTGGGGCAGGTTGCCGGTGGGCGTCACATGTGGACGCCAGGTGGAGCCGCCGCTGTATGCCAGGTTAGAGGGATAATAGAGTTGACATTGGCAACACTTTGCTGGCACTGAACACTTACCGCTGCACTGTGATGACAAAATTGTTGCCCGAGCGCACCACAATGTCCTGGGCATCCTTGTGACGAAAATTGAAGACATCAACGTCATTGATCTTGATGACTGCGTCGCCCGGCTGCAGGCCAGCCTGCTCGGAAAGGCTGCCCGAGTTCACCTGCAAAGGGGCAAGAGTAGAAATGAATACAAAATAAGTCACAGTTGCTCACTAACAATCAATCAGTCAGTCAATCAATCAATCAATCAATCACTCAGCTGTTGTCTCAAATCAAAAGTTGTCATCAGCAGCTCGAGTGCAATTCAATTGCCAGCTCGCGCATAAATCAAGCCAAAGGCGAGCCATAAAAAACGTCTAACGAAATGCAGCCGGAGCCAAAAGTAAATGAATTTATTTTGTACTGCCCGCTGGAATTATGAAGCGCCAGCCGAAAATGCCAGCTCCGTTGTGGCCACGCAAGTTGTGTTCCCATTTTCCCTTTTCAGATTTCCCCTCAGCAGAAACAGCAACAACAAGTTTAGTTTATAGGCGTTGTTTTTGCGCCTGGTTTTCATTTATTTATTTGCCGCCGCGTCTGCTGGGAAATTGTGCGCACCAAAAGCCATAAATTTACCGACGATTAAAATCGCAAAAGTTCCACACAACAGACGCTGCAATTCGTGGCCATTTCTCATGCATGCGCATAGACAGAGCGGCAGGGAGAGGGGCAGGCGCAGGGCTTGCACTAAGCAAACAAAACAAACCTGCCACGCCTTAAATTCTACTAGTTCGGCTTAATTAAAGCTGATGCCGCTCGCTTTAATCAAGCTTAAAACAAACCTCAAGTACGCGGCACAAGCCAAATTGCGGCTCCTGTTGCACTTGGCTTAGGTCTAGGCTCGTGTCTTATGCCGCATGCCACATGCCGCACTATGCCCCACTCCGAGCCTGCCACGTGGCTATGCTCAGGTGTGCGGCCGAAAATTATGCGCGCCCTGCACGTATCCACTTTGGCAAATTGTCTGTTTATCCGACTACCAGCCCCGGCAGCCCAGTCAGTCGACTCTCAGCTCTCAACTCTCGACTGTCGAATGCGGCCGGTTTATATTTACACAAAAAGCAGCACACACAACCACATACACACATACACACATACACACACACACGCGTGTGTGGATGACTGCATAAATATTTCATTGGCATGTTCGCCAAGCGAGACACCTAAATTTTGTAATATTTACAAAGTTGCTAAAAATGTGGCGCCCCAACAAACCAATGCCAAAACCTGAAGCACAACCCGAACCGAACCTCAAACCCCAACCGAAACCCCAACCCAAAACCTCAACCAAAACCAGAGCCAGAGCCAACCGAGCGGGCAAACGACAGGCCCCAAAAATTCAAGCAAAATCGCGCGTTGCTCTCAATTTTTGCTGTTGACATGTTCATTTTCTTGCCGAAAATTGAAAATTGGTTGGACGTTGAGGTGTTTCACAGTCAGCGACAAATAAGAGAGAGACAGCAACAACGAGATATGGATGGAAAGAGAGAGGGCGAAAGAGAGAGAGGTAGAGAGAGGGAATCAAAGTATGCGCTGCCTCGCATTTTGTTTTTTATTGGCTTGACACAAGTTCTACCCCTTTCAAATGGAGCGTAATGCGCATGCTGGACTGCTTGAATCAACATTTCACAAATATGAAACCTTGAAAAGAAAAAGCGTTGGTTCAAATCATCTAAATATATGAAAAACTTTCGGTGAAATATTATTTCGTTGAATATTATCTCTATCAAAGAGTTTGTCCTGACTGAAGACTGACTGAATGACTAACTGACTGATTGACTGAAGACTGACTGACTGAGTCGAAGCTTTTGTTGAAGCTTCTATTCGAGTCGAAAGTGAGCATTAATATTGGGCTTCAGAAAATTCAATTAATTATATATATATATATCTTTTGTTGTACTTTCATTATTTTGTTATCTCAATATCTCTATGTCTATAGAATATTAGCAATATTTTATAGGGTATACAAGTGCGTGGAATAGAGCTTTGTTAGAAGTTTTTTCTGTTCGCCAGCAAATTGCATGTCACAAAAGTGCGCTTGGATTTGGATAGAAGTGTGACTGTGTGTGACTGTGTGCGTTTGTGCTTGTGTGGTATTGGAATATTGACATTTGGACAGTTTTATGAGTACCTGCGATCAACATGCGCCCCGCCCAAAAATGTTTGCTCGCCTGTCTGGACGGCTGTTTCTATGGCTCTCTCTCTGGCTGGGTTACTGTGTCTGTTTTGTGGTTTGGTGGTGCGCTTGTTAGACATTTGTCAGCTTTATAGCATTTGTGGCCAGCCGCCAATTGACAAGGTATTTGTTTTCCCATGACTTATGAGTGTGTTGGCGGTCGGCGATGGCGAGGTTAGGGCAGGCCAAGTGAATTACCATAAAACTTGGCCCCAACATGTCGAGCATTAATATCAGTTGTGTCCCAGCTCTTGTGCTCCAGTTCCCACAGTCCACAGGCCTGGACGACCTGCTGCCATTTGGAGGCCAGCCAGGACACATTATGCGCCCCTCCGAGCGCATTACATGTGTAGCCACGTTTGGGCAAATGATGATTTATACGGGCCAGCACAGGCAGCTCGGCAGCCAGGCAGCCAGGCAGACCGGGTCCCGTGGAGCTACCCCCAGGCTGTCAGGCGTTGTCCAGCTGCAGCTCCTGCTCCCGCTTTAGCTGCTGATAAGTATAAAACACACACTCGGCCGACATTTTCATTTTCATTTAGCAGCAAATGCTGTGAAAATATTTTAACTGCATTATTTCAGCATTTGTCGTGGCATGTATTTAGCATTTGGCTAAATATACTTGGAATTATAAATATGCACAGCGCCCAACCCAGCTCAGCTCAGAACGTGTCCTGGGGCTTCGAGCATTTCCATTACTGCTGTCACAGCAAATTTCTAGAATTTAAAGTGCTTGAAGACAATGGACAGCCTTGTAAATGCATATAACAAATTAAATTTAATGGCCGGAGAGTAAAATGCTCGTAATCAAGTCAACTAATCCGTTCAAGTGCATTCAAATTGAGATTCATTTAGCACGACTGCCAGATGCTCTGCTCGACTGTGCAGCAGCTCAACCGAGTTGCCCAGCCACGCCCACTTCTGTCAATTACACACACTTGCATAAGCCGAACATATCCTTTAACACTCACTTCAGTTGCTTGACAAGGTGGAAGACGAAAAGCAGCACATTTTGCTGCCTGAAAACCACACACACGCACACGCATAAATACACAGTGTGTGTGTGTGTGTGTGCAGCATGCAAAATATTTATGTTGATAAATCAAGTTTGCTTTTGTGGATTAGGTGTATCTAAAATAAATTGAATTTGTGGCGTAAATTAAGGCCAAACAAAAGGCAAGGCACAAGAATTGCCAAGTTATGAAGTTGTTTAATTGAAAATAAATCAGTTTAAAGGCAACACGACGAGAACATGCACAAATTCCATTTGCCAGGCGAGCATAGTTTTTGGCCAAACGCTTGCATTGTTTATCTTTACTCTACCACCCCGCCCACTCCCCCGCCTTCTGCGACCCCTCTACTGCCGTCTGTGTGCCATAAAAAACAGAAAGCGAAATGCTCGTAAGTAGAACGAGCTACGCTCAAGAGCTGCGCCCGAGATAAAATGCTTGGGATACGAAATACTGCGGAAATGCAGCGCAAATACAATGAATCTCAATGTATATGAATATGCATGGCCATCACTCATACGCCCTTTCGCCACCTCCCCACTCCCCACTGCCCACATCCCTTTCAGTCTCTTGTTGCCAGCTCTAAATCACCCAAAGCCGCTGCGGTTGGTTTTCCGCCACAACAGCAAATGTTGGCCGCAGCACTTGACCAAACTGGCAGCAAAAAAAAAAAAGAAAAATAAATACAAAAAAAATCATTGCACTTGCAAACTTGGCAAATGAAGAGGACTCAGCCGCGATCCGCCCCCGTAGGCCACGCCCTTTGCGAACCCAAGGGTCCATAATAAAATTGCGCTGGCCAAGCAAAACAATCAAATTCAGCGAGCTGTTAATGCGGCAAAGTAAATACAATGTTGGCAACTCCTTCGGGCCGTGCTCCAGTTCAGCTGCAGCTTAACCAGTTCTTTTAACTAGTTCATTTCAGAGGCGTCTCTAGATACGAAAGGGGAGAGCGGGCGGGGGAGGGGTCGTTGTTAACGCGCAGCACTCGAAAAGTATTCATATTCAATAATCACAGAAGGAACTCTCGCCTTTCGCCTTGGCCTGGCTGGATGCCACCAACTTTTTGGACACGTTCTTCGCTGGCCGAGCAGGACTCAACAGCTGACCGGAAAGTGCCGAGCGTCACAGAAATTACTTATTTATTGGCAAAAAAAAAAGGGGGTGCATTCAGCAGCAGAAGCAATCGTGGCAGCAGCAACCATTAAGCGGAACAGGCGCCCAAAGTCCAATTCTGGCTGCTTTGACATAGCTACAATGCAACTGCAACTGCTACAAAAACAACACCACCAACAACAACAACGACAGGAACAACAACAAGAGAAACAACAACAACAACATTGTGAAGCACGCAAACTGTCAGCAACATTTATAAATTATGATTGCAATCAACGTGCCACAAAGCGCTCGCAGGGCGAGCGGACAAGTTGCCAGTTGCTTTTATTTTTTTATTTATATCTATTTTTTTTTTTTTTTTTGGCTGAAATGACAGACGCAGTTACACACACAAGCACACACACACACACGGGCGCGCACAACAAACGCGGCAATTTATATAAATGTTGCATATTCATAACTAGTAATGGAAAAACTTTGCACAATGAAATTATTGTGGCCAATGCGAGCGGAAATTTGTGCGCAGCTAATGAATGAGAGCTAGAGGCAGGGCAGGGCAGAGCAGGGCAGGGCAGGGAGAGGGGGAGACGGACAATGACTGGCCAGTGACTGGATCTGCCCAGCGGGCAGCCTGCCTCATGTCTATTCCATGCGTGGGCAGCTCCTCCTGCCCAGAGTGAGGCCAGAGACCAACTGCAACGGCAGCTCATTTATCTTTGGGGCATTATCAACAGCTCCGGCATCGGGTTTTTGGTGGCACAGTGTGCAATTCATGGTTAGCTGACAGCTGTGCATGTGTGTGGCAACACCTTTGAATACG